CCAGTCTGCAGAGTCGGAATGCAATTGCACGCAAGCGTTTTTTGCTTCCCCAATATAGTGATGTGGGTTCTTATTTGCATTTAAAAAAGTAGCAGTTTGAATATAGTTAAAATGTTTGGACTGGTAGTTTTTAATTGGCAGCTTTCTTTGGTGTACGTTTTGCTCTCGATGAGAAATTCACAACTCACATTACTGGTCTCAAATAGGGCCTACAAAGTGGTTCATTTAATTACCAGAAACTCGGACATTCTTATCGCATTGGTCGGCAAGTCTTTCTTTTCTATCCTGTCACTAACAATTGGGCAGTGCAATAAGAAGAACAACTATACGATCAATGACATGATCTAAAAATAGCGTTCGATTGATTCTCTTTTCCTTTGGGTTGGGAAAAGCTCAACTTTATATCGCTCCTGATTTCAAATTTTTACCAGTCAACTTAGCTTTACTGTTCCTCACTGTGGGCGACTGGTTTCATCGTAATTGTTGTATTTTTGATGCGACCAGCAATATACATGACACTGGCCAATCTCCAAACAACCAGTTCTCTTTACTGTTTTTTTCATGATTGAAATTCAACTTATGTTATGTTTCTAGAACTTGGGGAAGCTTTTTGGTCACAGAGTTTGACCCCTTAGCATTTTTGATGTTTCTTTAAGTTAGTAATTCTGCAAGTAGACGAATGTTATTCTTGGTTTAAATATTGGATTCTCGAGACAAAAAATGTATGCTGTGATCTCACTGCATTTGCGCGATGATAAATACAGTTGCAAAACACTGCTTATTTAATTCCATAAGCTTTCTTTAATGACCCTGGTTGAAATTGTGATGTTTTCTTTGAAGTCCTAGCTCCCCGGCTCTAGCTCTGTTGAATATGGTGATTCTATCTTCTTTTGCTGTTGTCTATCGTCCTTAGTTTGATCTAATTGTAAATTGGCACAGGGCAGGAATTGTCCGTGTGATTGAGAACCTTATTTGCCACGGTCTACCATTAGACCGGATCAAGATCTTGGGATTCAAATGTCCACCTGAATATTAGACTCCCAAACTGAACTAGTACTTGGAAAATCGCGGAAGAATGGAAAAAATGGCCATTTTAGGCTTATGGGGATCACAGGTAGTTTGGTTTCGGAGGGGGAAACATTTTTAAGCATGAGGAAGAGTGCAATTGTTTCTTATACTCAACACGGAAATATGGCTATGCTGGAATGGTCGTTTACTACTGCCCACGACAACTCCCAGATCCCGTTCACGATCCTGGAACGGGCGGAATATTTTATCAGCTAAAACTTGTGGCAAGAAATTCGGAATCACCGAACGTTTCGCCTCAGCTCGTGTTTTGCTAAAAATGCTTATTTTCCGAATATTCATTAATGGTGGAGGAACGTGGAAGAAGAAGTGTCAAAAAATGTAATCATCATGTGAATGAATAGGCGGGTTGTGTTTGCTTCCCTGTTTCTTCCACTTCATTTCGACTTTTAAACTGTGCAGGTCCTTTGGCATTGATTCGGTTTCGCGAAGTCCATTACTCTTAGAAATTGCACTAAGAGGTGTGCTCTTGGAGTCGGTGCGCCTCTTATTCTTCAGGTAGGATTCTGCACCGCCATTTCAGTTATTAGATCGTGAAGTTGATATTTGAATTCTTGTTTATTAAATAGTTCCCTACTTAACAAGGTCTAATTTACGGGTTTTGGCCATCTGCCTAACAGTTTGAGAGGTATGGTCGCTGTCAAACTCAAAATGTTTGCCGGAACAAAACGGAGGAAGGGTATTTCACTAAGTTCCTCTCTGTCATTACTGATGTCAGACGATAACCTATTAATCCGTCAAATTTTCATCAAGCGTCAATACAAAACCGATTTCCATGGCCATACCAAACGATGATCATATGAGTTAATCTTCATAGAGCCCCTCCTTGTTCTGAATAACAAATCAGCTGATCGCTATTATAGAGAAACCTAGTGAGGATTTGTTCACGCGCGTGTCACTTTCAGCATTCGAGTATCTTGATAGTTGGGTGTGGCCATGTGTATTCCGTATGACCGCAATCTGAATTTATTTTGTATGGACAGTTTCCAGTTGACGCGGAAGTGACACTGTTCTCGGATGGTTTGGGTGGTTTATTTACCGGTTGGTTGTTATACAGCATAAATATATGTATGTTCACGTTTATCCTGGGCCGTTCGATATGTGTCTGTTCTTCTCTCCGGGTAAGTCAGCCACATTACACGTGCATTCTCAATCACTCACTGAGATATGAGGATTGAGCAGCTGTAATCAGGCTGTGGAAAGTGATGCAGCAAAATGTGCGACAAATCCTAGCAACGAAGGGAGATGTGAGTGTCACGTAGTTGCCACCGGCATAAGCAGTAGTCTATCCGGAAATCACAGTGAAAACGGCTATCTGTTGACCCCTAAATTTCATCTTGCTATACAGAGAAACTGCCGCCAATTATTTCTCTATATCTGAGCGCCATTTCTGGACATCTATCAAGTGTACTTTCAATACCAGAGTTTTGTAGGCAATCAGTTTTAGTGCAAAAGAAGCGATGAAATTCGAGATGGCCTCACCTCATTGGAATTTTTCCGCTGGATTATTGCGGGCCATGGCTAATCCCGCTTATATTACGACCCCTGTCAATATTTACGACTTATCGATTCACCTTGACGTGATGGCTTTCTTACCCGACTGACCGGGGTCAGCACCGAGTTCGTTCATTCTCGTCTAAATCTCACTCTACCAACGGTCACGACGGGCACATCGGACCCGGGAGACTAACGGTCACACCCCACCGAAAAAGGACTTTTGTTTGATTGTCCGACTGGACGGGCTTTGTGGCAGACGCGGTCCAATAAGCAGCTTGTGACGGCTCCCGTAGAATGTGGTCGATTGATCCACTTAAAAGGTATGGGATGCAGCTAATCCGCAGTTTGCCGAAACAGCAATGGGTATAACCCGTTGGGATCAGAGCATGTAGCTTTACTGAATGGTAATGAATCACGTGAGAATAATTTCTGGGACAAGGAGATCGAAGGTCAATGAACAATGAGTGTATGGTCTGCATTTGTTCATGTGTGTGTGCGTGCTTACAAATGACGGCGGAAGGGCGCGTGTGTGAACCGTGTTCGTAGGGAGAAACCAGAACAGGTAGGTATGATCGCGTTGATGGAACGGGGATCAACAGCACGTGGCGTGTCTTACAGCATCCCTATACACAAATGTTGCCGCATACCACACCCACATTGCGGCCAAATTTGACGGTCCACTGATTGGTTTTAAATCGGAATCAGCTGTTGGTTGTTTTAGTGATGCAACTTTGGGTAGGAGTTACCAAGAGCATCACTAAAATTCGAATTTCAACCTCACTTATTCTCATCGCCTAAGGAAATAATTTGGTCGGGATCACAGTTCATTTTTGTGGCTTTTGTATACAGAGCAAATAAAGCCTGAAATGAAAATCTTTGAAGAACTGGGTAGTTGTTTCGACCTCGTTGGGTCT